AAATCTTTCAACTGTGACTGTAGCTTTTTTTTCCCAAAAACTTTGTCTTCAAAATAAGGGTGCGTCTTATATTCCGAAAAATACTGTAATATATATATTTTTTGAGATAGAAATATTGCTAGTCATAATACATATAATACAAAGATGATATGTTATCACTTGTGGTCAACGATCAGTGTTTCATCTTATGAAACAAACGTTTAACTTGCATCATCAGTTTTTTAAACAAGCAGTATTGTAGGTTTTAAAACAAACATTACTATGTGTTTTCACTTGTTCTCAACTAATAACATTTAATGTTATAAGACAACATTATTTCACTGTTTTTTTTATTCAAGAGGTTTCTTTTTATATGTGAAATTTCTGCAATCTTTTGCTCATTTCTATCAGTTGCAAAAGTAATATCAATCAGAATTAACCAGGTTATAGCAATAACATTTTAGGGCTGGAAAACAAGTACAGTAATAGATATATATCTTAAATATTAATAAGTTTAACATACTAGAAATTCAAGTTATTTTTATTGTTAGTGAATATTTATGTAAAAACGCCTAACAGAGGAGATTTAACCCTGCATTAGTCTTCTGTAAAAGTTTTCCATATTCACTCTTCCAGGGTCAGAGCAGATCCCATCATAAAAAATTAATTTAAAAATATTTAAATAATAATAAACTATTATTTTGGAAACAAAAACATTAATACTGAAAATCTTTTCCTTTATTAATCAATAAATGAACATTGAATATTACAACTTGTTTCTTTTTTACTACCTAAACTAAGTGTAACAATTTAACACAAACTAGCCAAATACTGAAGCTACTGAGAACATCAAACATGTACTTGCTTTCATCTGTTGGCACCTATGTTTACAAAATATTTGGGGTCTGTGAAGACCCCAGAAGACTCATGCAGGGTTAAGTATAAAAAAAGTTTTGTTTTGTAAAAATGCTAATCTTTTACAAATTAACAATTGTTAATTAATGGAATGATACTTTTCTTGTCTTCAATGCACTGCAATTTAAACAGTTTAGAAGAACAAAATTATGAATAATATTAAAGTACTTGTAATTTGTAGTTTTTAGAAGAAAATTTTATTATCAAATCATTTGAAATAATTGATTGTGTTTTGAAACCTGACATAAATAAATAAATATATATATATATATGCATCATATTACTAAATAATACTAGCATAGATTATTTTCCAATCCAGTAAGTACTTTTATTTCTAACTATGACAATCTCATGCAGTTACTTTAAACTTATTCCTCAATTTCAGAATTTAGTGTTTATTCACATGTCATATATATACATTTTATGTATATGGGAGTTTCCACAATACCATCTATCCAGATAAATAACTGATATTTTACTTGTATCAAAAGTTAAGTTAAATACCCTTTCGTTTGATGTTTGGTTTCTTCAGATTACAGTTGTGTATTAGCACAGACTGCATGGCATAACTATTAATACAGAATGTTTATTATGGTTTTGATGGATATACCTTAACATCATTTTTTTTTTATTTAGCAGCACTATAACATTTATTTATGATGTTTTGAGGCAAAACAGAATTTACTTGGCTACTAGTTAGTGGTCTGTTTAGATATTAGAATAATTATTTTAATGCTCAAGAACATGCATGTATGTTGTTTTGTTGAATAAATCAAGAAGATAATATGAGGCTTTATTTTATTAGCTCTTGACTAAAATTTGTGTTAAGTTTGTTTCAGATAAAAAAAATATCTAAAGCCATAAAACACTGAAAACTAGAAGGGGGTAAATTTTTAAATAGAATTTGTAATTTCAATCACTTTATTTTTTCAAATCAAACTATTTTTTATTCACTACAGGCATGATATAATTATTTTTATAACTGCCATAGAAATACTGTTTTGGTATTTTTCTTTTGAAACTATAACCTCGTGTGTATTGTCCAGTTATTGATGTATATTAATTGAACATATTTCTTAGTTTCAGTTCATAGTAAAAGTAATTTGGTTTACCCTTTCAGTGCATGACTGTAGAACTGCACATATTAGTGATTCTCTTAGACATACTTTCATTTTTGCAAGAGTTCCTAAATATATAGTTTCAGAAACATTGAACTATTTCATCATTGAGTTTTGCACAATAAGACCTACCGCTTTCTGAAAGTGGGTATGAAATTTAAATATTCGTTTCCAAGTTTCATGGTTTAGGTTCCTGGATTGGCATAACAGATGATTTAGTTGAATCGGTTTGATTGTATTTAAATAACTTATTATTATCTCATCTTTTCATACACAACACTGCATTTGCCTTTGATGCTGACAGAGCATTTTGTATTTTTTTTCTACTCCCATTTTGGCATGTAATATTGCTGCATGGCCATGATGCTGGCTGCTTTGAAATGGATCAGGGTGGGGCCTAGTCGTTTGTACTCCCACCCATCACCACTTACACCTTCACCCAACAGACCATCATCTGGCTCAGGTTTAGATAGTACTGATGAAAGTCACAGAGTGACTGGCTTTAACTTCATCTCCCCTACTGCATCTATTAATCGTAGGACCCAGAAGGGGCGCCAGCAGCCACTGGAAGCAGAACCACCAAAGGTGAGTGTGCCTTTACACTTGTATGAAGATAATGTGTGAAGCTGTTACTGTGACAAACTAGACAAAACCTTTCCAGAAACTAATTGGCTTGGGACAGTTTTCACAAGTTAGTTTTCTGGTGGCCCTAGAATCAGTTATTCAGAAGACTACAGATCCAAAGGTTTGATTTTGTAGAATGGTAAGGTCAAGATTTCATTTTCTAATGGATCTGTAACTTTGTTATATAAAAAGAATCCAGTACTTGGTTATCTAGAAAATAAATCCAATAATTTTATAACCTAAGCAGGTATGAACCCAAGAATTTTTTATTTTTCCTGGTAAATAAATCTTGAAAACAAAATCCAGGATTTGTATTTCAAAGAAAGAAAATAATCCTTAAAACTTGTTTTAAAAATAAATCCATTATTTAGTTTTAATGTTGATAATAGTGCCAATTAAAAGATTTAGCCCTCAAAAGTAAAACCCAACATTTAGTGTTTGGAAAAACATACCCTAGTGAGTCAGTGATAAGTCTACAGACTCGCAACTCCAAAATTTGGGGTTTGATTTCCCATGGTGGACAGAGTGCAGATAACTTATTGTGTAGCTTTGTGCTTAAAAAATAAGTTATCAGATGGGTTAAATTCTGCCTTTTTATTTCAATCTTCACAAGTAAAAAGAATTCAGTGATGATAAGTTATCAAATTATAAAGGTGGTTTTAAAATTAGTCAATATGCTTTTTGTAATAATTTGTTAGGGTATAATTAACCAATTAATGAATATAGCTAGTTTTAATGTACCATTCTTACTTATAATGGTTAGAATGCATGAATAACTTGATTTAATTGGAAGTTAATGATAATAGAGATAAATCCATTTTTAGATTCTTATGCTAGAAAGATGTGCAAAGTTGGTACTATTTCACATTTAACCATTTTATTTAAGCTCACAATCGTTTCTTTAGGATATATATTAAGCTCTTATTCACTACATATAGGTTCAACCAATAAGTGAACAAGAATGGGAAACAGTGGAACAGCCTCATATAATTGCAAATGTTCAACAAGCATTTGATGCTAGTGACACTGAGTGTAGTCAAACTGATGACAACGAAAGTATGTTTGACATGTTATCTCCATCTGGTCAAACCGATGCTCAGACTCTGGCCCTCATGCTTCAAGAGCAGCTAGATGCTATTAATAATGAAATCAGGTTGGTCATAAGGCTCTATACAGAATTTATTCATCCCAAACTATTAAAGCTATTTGGCAATTAAGCTGTTGGTGTGAATGTAGAGATGTCTGTGTTTAACAGTGAACTCGTGCTGGTAATTGAAATTCCTTGAATAATTATAGGTATTTAAACAATAAAATGATTGAAATACCTCAAAAGCTTAGTTTTTATTCAGTCCATTTTACTAATATGCTGTAAAGAAAAGTATATTTAAAATTTGCTCAGACCTGATGAAACTCTGACTTTATGCTCTAGATCGTTAAAGACCTAAAAGGTAACATAGAATGCTTTTTGCTCATTATAGTTGGCAGTAACATGAAAAAGAAAATGTATTCCTAAACTTGTAATACTGTTTTTCTAATTATTTGATAACTCACTTTACTGTTTCATAAGTAAGTTTAATATCATGTTTTCCCAGGTGAATTACGACAAAGGTATTTTACATATTATTACCTTCATTCAAGTCTGTGCAGATAGCTATTGTGTAGCTTTGCACAAGAATTCTAAAACAGATTAATTAGGTCTTGAAACAATAAATCAGTTTCATCAGTATTAAGTTTAAAGTAATTACACCTTTTTACTTACATCTTATAGAATTGTCCTAATATCCAGTTCAAGGGTACTTGTAAAGAGGTTAAAAAATTTTCCACAGATTAATACAAGAGGAAAAACAAAATACTGAGCAGAGAGCCGAAGAACTGGAATCAAGAGTTGCTAGTAGAGAAGCAATTGGTCTTAATAATCGTGGACAAACATTTGAAAGAACGTCTCCTCCACTCAGTGGTCGGTCCACACCCAAATCTCATCATAGTCCGCAGATGGAATATTTACAGAAGTACCATACAGTAAGTTTTATGTATTTTGGATTCTAAACTTTGATTTAATGCCTTAGCCCAATACAAAGTATTTTTATACTGAAAATGCAAATATTACAGTCAGCAAAGAGCAGGATCTTAAAGTCAAATATTTTCAGGAAAATAGTGCACCACATGTTTTTATTTTAAGTTTTCTGAAATACAAATCCTATTCTGGAAGAATCAATCCAATTAGCAATACATGTGAAAGTATGGATAAGTTGGTCTTAAGTAATATAAATATTACACTTAAGCTTCTTGTAAGAATGGCTTTAATAACCAAGTTTATTTCTGGCAACTCAGAGGTTGTTTTTTATTTATATAACTAGAAAGTATGTTTGAACTATTACAAGTTTTTTACAAGATAACATTATTTCCAGATATAATCATTTTGTAAGACCTAGTTTTCCTGAAACTTTGAATTGATTTTTAGTTTCCAAGGGAGTACTGAATTTAAAATAACTCCACATATCATTTATTCCCAATATGGGACAGAGTTTATATTTTCAGTAGAAGACAAAAGGCACAAATTTGCAGTTTCTGATTGGTTATTTACCTACAGTGAAAGTGAAATGAGTTTAAAACTAATATTTTAACTTGAATGTTTTTCACATAAAAAACACATTCCATATTTCAAATGAACTTTTTTTTGCAGTGTTTCCTATTGATATTTTTTTCCATAATCAGTATATTCCCAATATGGGACAGAGTTTATATTTTCAGTAGAAGACAAAAGGCACAAATTTGCAGTTTCTGATTGGTTATTTACCTACAGTGAAAGTGAAATGAGTTTAAAACTAATATTTTAACTTGAATGTTTTTCACATAAAAAACACATTCCATATTTCAAATGAACTTTTTTTTGCAGTGTTTCCTATTGATATTTTTTTCCATAATCAGTACGAATAATTATATTTATCTCTTGGTTTTGTTTTTATGGGGGACCTATACATGAAAAAGAAAAAAATGCACATGAAGGTGAAATAGTTGTGTTATATGAAGGGATTATAATGGTATGTGATGAAATTCCATTAAAAATGTTTAAGTATGGTTATTTCATATAGAAAAATGTTATTTTTTCCAGATACCCAGTCAAAATATTAAATCATTATTCCAGTGGAATAGAACAGAATCAAAAGTACTTCTTGCAAATTAGATTTTTATTACTGACACACTGATTCAGTGAAAGCTAGATTTGGTTTTTCAACATGTTCATCTTTATCACTTGTATCCCCTGAAATATAC